TTAGACTTCAAGCACAAGCTGAAAGGCAGGCTACTCAAAGACAGCAAGAAACTGTTGAACAGCACAAAGCCAGTGTTCAGTCAGAATCATCAAGGCAAGCTGGATATAGATAACAAGAAACTTATGAACAACGTCAAACCAGACTTCAAGCACAAAAATTAAGACAAATAACTTACAGAGAACAAGAAACAGAGGAGCAACATGGTGTACGTCTTCAGGCTCAAAGAACAAGACAAGCTTAAACACGATCTAATTTCATATAAAGATTTGTTTGATTAAATGCTTTTTTATTTCTCGCATCACAGCTTTAGTCTACTTACTGAATAATTTGCTCAAAAAATACTGATCTATACATTTCAAATCTAAATTTTCACCGTGCAACGCCGTGTAACTCAGCTAGTTATTTATATTTTGATATAAAAGCTGTGAGCATACATTTATAGCCTCATATAGTGAAATGTTAGTATCAAAACAAAGACAGTAGACCTTATTATCAAAATTCAGATATTCTGTTTCTTAAGAAGAACAAAATTATCATTTCCAGTGTATTCGTTACCAGTAATGGACCCAGAAACATATGTCCTGGTGTTAGAGCGCTCGTCTCCCAATCAGCCGTGAGGGCATTATAATGTGTTGGTCAATCCCAATATTCGTTGGTAAAACAGAAGCCCAAGAGTTGGCGGGGGGATGGTATTGATTAGCTGCCTTCTCTCTAGTATATCACTGCTAAATTAGGGACGGCTAGTTCAAATTGCCCTCGTGTAGCTTAGTACGAAATTCAAAACAAATCAGACCTAGAAACATAACTAACAACTCGACAAGTTTGCGTTTTGTGTTTATATGTTTATATTAGACAAAGTTGGTCTATCCGGACGCGACCATTCTCATGCACCTTAAGAACCCCGTACATGATATCAGAGAGAGAATCTGATGATCCTATTTTATGATATTCATCTTTCAGTATGTTTCTACTGTATTTTAGTAAGTACTTTTGTAATTTACATCTTCATTTAGTTTCATTATTTAGAATGTCTATAACTTTATCAGTATAGACAGTTGTATTTAGAATGACTAGACTCTTTGCATTATCTAGTTTTGTTGTTACTATATTTTCATTTTACTTGTGTGTGTGTAGGGTCTAGTGATAAGCTTGCTGGACTGTCAATCTGTTGCCGTAAAATCACTCTCCGCACTTTGAGAGTTGTGGGTGCGTTGTAAGAGTGGTAGGCATACCTTCAATCCAAGTAGAGTATCCCCCAAATTGGCGGTTGGTGCTGTTGATTAGTTTCATTCCGTGAAGTATAATTAAATATTCAGAATTAGAGACGGCTAGCACACTTAAGTAGATGTATTCGAATATTTGAAAGAAACATTTAATTTAAATTTTTGTGTGGCGTGAAATTCCTCCTTACTTACGTATATGTGGGTTTACTTCCAAAAGTGAAATAAATATAAATGACTTGAATTATTATGCTGTGAAAGATTCATCGCTGCCCGATTAGATTTTTATTTCTTTATACAAGTGTTGAAACAACTGTTCGAAACTCAGTAAACAATCTTCAAATTTAAGTCTTTTTAATGGAATGGCAAATTTTAAGACACAAACCACGTCCCCAATTGCTTAGCGGTAAGCTGGAAGGCTTATAACGCGAGCAATCAGACTTTGATACCCGCGGCAGGCACAGCGCAGATAGCCCGTTGTGTAGCCTTGCACTTAAACAGAAATAAACAAAATATGCTACTTAAAACACAATTTACAGATTAAAAGTTACATCATCAGAATAATTAACAAAAATTCGCTATCTTTTATATCTTCTTAGCTGACTTAATTTTTCAACATGTTCTTTTTTCTGCATTTTAGAATACTCTTGTTGTTTTGTGTATGTATCTAGCTAAGTAAATGGATATGTAGTACCAGGTTGTACCACACGTTCTTCACTTCTTTTAGTTTAAAGTCAAGTTCGCTAGATTTATTTTCTTTTTCACTATAATTCCTAAATTTGGAACATAACATTCCTATGGCTAATTGGGACAAATGGATATTAAGCACATTATTCTCTGATTTTCTTAGAACAATAACAATGTGCATTTTAATCAGCACGCTGAGCTATTCTTGTCGGCGAATCGGGCAGTAGTTGTAGGTGGACTATCCTGTTATCTTCGCAGCCCGTTGGCCAACTAATCTATCAGGCACCAATCACTGTTTTACTGTGTCAGAAACTCACTGGTTTCTTGTCATATTTAAAACAGTGTTGGGAGATGAGAGAGCAGAATTTGTCCATGATTTACCAAGAATTTCCACAAAAGTTCAGCAGAATTTTCCTAGAATTTATACAGATTTTCACCTAGGAATTCATCTAGAAAATCACGCAGTTTTGTACAAGATTTACGTAGAATTTCCGTAGATTTAAATGGAATTGAGCTGACTTTCACTTGATTTTCACGCAGAGATTCTGAATTTTCACTTCTACATGAGAACTCTTAAAGTTCTCACTTTGGTTTTCCACTAACAGGTTGGCATGTTTTTATGTAGTTTTTGCTTTCCAAGAACTCTTCAGGTTAACTTTCAATTTCATTTGTGCAGACGCCATTTAGCTTTCACCTGTAATATAGTTAAGTATTTAAGTACATTATTTGTTTTATTTATCAGTGAGCCAATAGTGTATAGGTTGCTTCATATAGTGGAGTACAGGTTTTTGTTTATAGTGTGATTTATTATTCTTTTTATTAGTTAGTAAAGCTGAGATGAGCGTTAACTTATTGTGTGTTACATTTTAACTAGGGGACACTCTCTGTTTGTGATTCTTTAATTTTACTAGCCTAAGTTAGAGGGCAGAGCACATGCACTAACGCGAGCCTATTATTTAATAAATTCTTCGTCACTGTTACTAATCACGTGCATTTTGGTTTTAATACACACCTACGTACACGATCACTAAAACTCCGTTTTTTGTTTGTAAAGTATCAGATTGGTTCTTTGTGTTTGCTTGTTTGTTTGTAATTAAGCACAAAGCTACACAATGGACCATCTGTGCTCTGCCCACCACGGGTATCGAAACCCGGATTCTAGTGGTTCTTTGCGTAAATGTACGGGCCGTATCTCATCCGTGAACCTCCTCTTTCTGCAGGACCAGATTTTCTGCTTTACCGAAATCCTCAAGATACCACAGATATAATCTAGTTTATTAACTTACTTTTAATAAAGTATAAGTATATTCAAGTTGTTATTTAAGTGCTTTGCGAATTTTAATTTTTGTTTTATTTCAAATTTAATAACTGTTTTTTTTTCAATTGCAAATACTGCCTCGAATAATGTCATTGAGCCAAATAGACTTTTAGATTATCACATTTAAATGTTATATTATTCATTTTACATAGTTTCAAGCAGATCCACAACTAACTGAATTTTATAATACCTAAAAATATTTTTCAGTTTTTCTAAATAAAAAAGTTTGTTTTAAAACAAAGCTACATTGAGCTATCTACTGTGTTCACCGCGAGGAATAGAACCCCGGATTTTAACATTGTAAGTCCGTAAACTTACTAATAGCCCACAGGGGGACAAATAAAAAGAAGATAAATCAATTATATCTATTGGTAATTACAGCAGCAATAGATACAAATCTTGAGCTAGTGAACGCTACCCATCATTAACACTGACACTAATACTGTAGATAGTGGGGTTTGACTGTCCCTTTTATAACGCACCCATAGCTCTAAGGTGCGTGGTGCCCCCCCCCACATTTGTTGAACGCGAACCCCTGAATCTCAGCTCCACAGCACGGCATTTTAACCACTGGGCCGCATTTGGCCATTACAAACGACAAAAGAAGATAAAAAAGAGGTTCTGATATTAATAATAGTTAACAAAATTACAGTGATAGTGGTGCAGTAACGTGGTAGATATAGTTAACCTTAGCTAAACTTGAAATCATGTGCAGTATCCCTGTATTTTAATTCACATTGATTATCTGCGTTGATGTGGATTGTATTGCAAGTATAGGGGAAAGGCTATATTATTAGTCGCATGTACACGCGACCGTCATGAGCCAATTCTAAAATGACTGTCATGTATTAATTCCAGTACTAAAATGACTAAACGGAACGTTCATGATAGTTGTTAATGGCTATCAGTTTATATCTTTGAAATTATAGTTACTTTATATATTTTTGTGGTTCTATATAATGCAGCTAACAGTTCGAATGGTGTTCGTGCTTTTGTATTTCTGTGGCTGTAAAGCTTCAGTGTTTTATTTTGGAAAACATACATATTAATCAATTTTATTATATGTATATATATATGCACATAATCTTGTTTATCATGACCTTCAAGCTTCCGCTTTATGCCACTGAAGGCGTTGTGATCGTTAATTTGCTGACTTGTGTTCCAGAATAATGACTATGGGAGTGTGTAGGCTTGGGTTGTATGATATTTGAGTCTGACATAAGATGGCGAAGGATGAGTGTTTGTTCACTTATATAACCCAAAGACAGTATACTGGCAATGGTTCTTCTCTTTCAGCTATTCCTTTTCCAGCTCTTCGGCACCGTTTTAACCAAGCTAAAAATCTCTACAGAAAAGATCTCTTTGCTCATTATGGTTGTGTAAATGCAATTGAATTCTCTCACGATGGTGAATGGCTAGCGTCTGGTGAGTGACACTGACGTTAATCACTATTCTAATTTCTACGATTCAGTTGTATCGTAATAAAAGTTAATTAATATATGACAAGACTAGACATTACCCATAATTAATTTTAAAGCTCTTTAGTTTTTAAAGCTTTTACTTTTATAATTTTTTTTTGTGATTTAGATTTACCTAAAATAGCTAAATGCATCTAAATTTCTGACTCATGTAAAACTAAAACTTTGTAAAAGTGTAAATTGTAATTTGCAAAGCCAGGAACGTAAAAGGGTGTATTACTATTACAAGTATTATTATTAGGAACTAGCCACAAACTACACTGAACAATAAATTTATGAAAAAAGTTCCTGACAAATGAATGCAAGTGTATTATTTATATAAATTACTCAGGCTGCATAGTCTAAATATTAAGGTAGATAAGTATTAAAAATTTAAATTGTAGAAAGAATTCCCAGCTCCATTCTTGGTCTGTCTCTATACAAGGCTGTGGGTATGATACCAAGTTTACAAAACTGTAATCTGTTTACAGTTGTATTGGTACAGTAATGTGATAGGCAGTGTTCACTTGAATTTTAAGTTGAAAGGTTAAACTCGTGTTAACTTAAGGTAATTGTGCTCATTATTCTTTTATTGTAATTTACATTCATTATCTAGGTTGACATGAATTGTACTGTAAGAATAGATGAAAAGGTGGTATTATTAGTAGTATTTATACATAACCATCCTGTACTAATTTTAAAATGACTGCAATATATTAATCCCAGTGCCACAGTGACACAACTGGCACATAAGTTGTTACTGACTATAGTTTGCCTACACTATTACTGGGCCTGCAAACAGAAGTGCACTGTTTACCATTCAGGAGAAAGGCTCTTTTTTATAAGAAACTTCATTAAAAAAAAAAAACTTGTTGCAACATTTTAGTATTTTCATTTCAGCTTAACAAGCTCAGTCATTACTTTGAGTAAAAACTATAGGTATTTTTATTACTTTAGTAAGCCATGTGCAAAATACCTATAGGAAAATAATACGTATTGTGTGTGTGCATATGTAGCTTGAGTATGTTTACAAACAACATATAAAAAAAAACACATATCTAATACTTCAACGTTGAAGCTTCTACCCCACTTGAACTTAAGGCAAGCTATTTCTTAAACAGATCATAACAGTAACATAACTAGACTCTTTAAGTCATGTCTGAGTTTTTTATATTTTAAACTTGTGTTCTCTAGTCTTACTGCCTGTATAGGTTTTTATGAAAACATCTTCTGGATTTCTAAGACTCAAAATCTCTGATGTGTTAAAAGTAACTGATGAAATGGTTTTGAAATTAGAGATGCTTGTAGACTATGATATTTTTTTGGAAAAGATACATTTGTTTTAGTATTATTAAAGTTTACAGTAATTATTTTAGTTAAGGTTTGACTGATTATTCAGTTGCTAGGTTATACAAGCATTGGTGGCTATTTAGTATAAAATGCAGGATAGATTAGCTAGCTGACACTGTTTTTAAAATGTTATTTGTATCATATGAATAGGAAATTCAGAATGAACTTTGCATTGTGAATATAAAAATTTTATAAAGGTCTACATTAATATGTTTTTTAGAGTGCTAGTCACTATATAGTACTTTTAAATAGTACGGTAAAATGGAATAAGATTGCTTTATATACTGCTGTCAGTACAGATTAAATTTCTGTAGCATTCAAACAAGTATAACTTAAAGTGAAAGCATTTTCAGGAATGAAAGGAATGTCTGAAGAAACTACAAAAAATCCCAAATCTGTATACTTAGGCTTATATGTGAGTATTCACTTTCATAGTCAGCAGTGGATCTTTAGTCTATCAACTGGATAGCCAGGATCAGCTATGTATCCTATGGACTAAGATGCCATTGGCAGCTACTTTACTACTTTGTATTAGATATGATATTGAAATAAAGAATTAGCAGTAGCATTAGCAAAGTAAAAAGGTGAATGTGTTTATGTTAGTTTTTTCTTTTCATTGAGTGAAGTCTTGGAACTTTTCAGTAAAAATTCAGGGTCACTTGTATGTAGATAGGCATGCATATTTTCCACTTACTATCCACAGTGCCCCAGAGCTCAGTATAGAAAAGGAAAATAATGTGTTCTTCAGCATTTGTAACAATAAAAAAATATTTCAGTAGTTCTGAACAATTCTAGAATTGTTTTAAAAACATCAATGTTACATTTCAAGTTTTTATTTCTAATAGACTTCCAAGTAAGTACTAGCCTTTTATGAAGTGACCAAAATTATCATGTATTTGTTTTCCATGTGTTTCCTGTTTTTTTTTGTTTTTTTTGTATGGAAAGGTACAATTTCTTGAGATGTTATTAGTTTTCTTTTAATGACACTGGCCTATTCACCCATATGAAGATTATTATTGTTACTGTATGGTACAGTAAAAATACCATAGGGTGGAAATAATGTTGACAGTGTCTAAAGAATGTTTTCATTGTAAGGTAAAAATCACTTCATCCTGTCATTAATTGGTAGCTGTTGAGAATTGAATACATTAATAAATTATTTGAATTAACAATTAAGTGTGTGACTAGAAAAGTGATGTACATTGTAACTTCAGTACTGTTATTAGTAATTAACAGTATATATGTTATTTATTAGGGGATTTTAGAGCTAATTTATCTACAGTTTTTTATATATATTATTTTACTGTGTAATAGCTTAGTTTTAGCAAAACATAATTATTGAGTGGATAGATTGGTAAATTAGTGGTTAGGTTCATTAATTGACTAGAATAACAAATTGATTATTCTTTGTTTTGGGTTTTTTTCAAAACTTTTTTGAGCTTCCATTTGTTTAATGTGATAGATATTTTCAGGCACAGCAATTAAAGGTTAAGATGCTTTTTAATCCTAAACTGTAATACATAAAAATATATCGTATAAGCAACATAAAACCTGTAATAAGCTGAAAATATACTTAATATTGTTCTCTGGGTTTTTACCCTATAAATTTTCATAGGACTACTAAACCTACTGATTTTTTTGTTGATTAGAATTAACATTACTTAGTGACATTGGTTATAAACCTTACAAACACTAAATATAACGTTCTTAGGTTTTATTTTTCTCCTAGTTTTGATGTAGAATATTGTAAGTGTAATAACCAGATAATTTAAAACTTCAGGCATGATTATAAGTAGTTCATGCTTATGTATTATTTATAAGGGTACTGTTGGGAAGTCGAAAACAACTGTTGCAGTACATGGAACATATGTACTTTAAACATACTTTTATTGAGATACTTGCACTGATTTAATACAGACATTCCATTGAGAAGTATTCATTTTTTCACACAAAAATGTTGCTTATGGGCATGGAGAAGGCCTGAACAATGTTGACCAACCTCAAAAATACATGATCAGGACCCCATAGAAAAAATATTCATCATTATCTCATAACTCTTTCTCTGTTGGTGAGATGCAGACAACAGCTGTATTTGCCAAATGAGCAATTAATTTTATGGGATGTACTTACCAAATGTTTGGCCATCCCTAATAAACTAAGATAATTTTTTTAAAGGTAATATAGAAGGTACTTTGTCATTATTGTTGTTTATAGAATGTATTTTATCCCAAAATCACAAGTTTGAAAATATTCTAAAAAACCTCAAAAAATTGGGTGGTGACCAATTAAGAAAAGGAAAGGGTTAATTCAAAAAAAAAAAAAAGAGGTGTTCATATTTTTCTATATTGGGTCATACTTGTCAGTTTTGCAAGGTATGAAGAAAATCCAAGCATGCCATTTCCCCAATTGTGCTGTTCTTATGAAAAGTCACCCTTAAAACATTGCATTCATTAGTCAAAAGTTTGAATTTTTTATATTTGGTCAGCAGTATGTTAAGTGTTAGCTGTTATTGCATAATCTTTACAATATTTTGAGCAGAATGATATGGTTATTAAGTTATTTGTGTTTTATGTATTTTGTGACATCAGATGTTATTGTTAAGCAGCATAGCCTTTATTTAAATATAATATTTATTATATATTATGACATGTATGTGAATATACGTCTTTACATATAATTTACCATTTTATCTGGAAATATGATTTTCTAGGTGGAGATGATAAAAGAGTTCTACTCTGGAATGTAGAAAAAGTAATGGCAGGTGAAAGTAAGCCGCAAAGTATGAATGCGGAACATACCAGTAACATATTTTGTCTGGGGTTTGACTCTAAGCACTCCAAACTTTTTTCTGCAGGTAAGTCCACAGAGATGTACATAAGACAGTTGTAGATGTTGTATTGTTATATATACACACAGCTGTATGCAAACATTGTTTAGTGTGTTGTTTATGGAACTTTGCATCAAAAAATTACACCCATATATCTTTAAGCCAGTTATTTCTGCACTGAATCAACTGATAGATTGGCAGCATCATTAACTTTGTCAATATACTTGGAAGTCCATTATATTGAGTGTAATGAATAGTAAAGCCAAATAATGTAACCATCTTCCAAAAATGAAGATAATGAAGTAAGATTTCTGTGAATATATATAAATATATGCTGTGTTTACATACACTTACAAAGATTTTAATGTTTTTATACATTTTAATGAACGCTTTAAAATAATACTGTTATAATCATTTCTTTCCATAGTGGATTATTGGAGGCCTCATATAATTTGGTTGTTTAAAACCTAAAAGTAGAAAAAAAAGTACTTAAAAAAGATAGGGTACACCATTAATAAAGACAGGGAAATTAGCTGTATATTGTTTTTTTATGGCTGTTGTTTTGACTGTACTGAAACAAAAAAGTGTATTCTAAAACATATTTACCTCTTCTTACACTTGTAGCTATTACTCAATTGAAAGGGTTTTTTTCCTTTGCCCATCTAAGCATTGCTCTGCTTCTTTCTTGCTTGCTCCAGTCTTTTGTACCCCACTCAATTGCTCTTGGCAATTTGTATCTCACGATACTCTCCACCTACAACAATATGCCCTCTATCCTGGTACTGTATATAAGCACCTCATTCAAGTAATGTTATTACTTTTTCTCTACAAAGCTTCACTAATGGATTTTTCAGTAATACAGTTTTTGGAGGTACTGTGAATGTTATCCATGTTATCTAGTTGATTGTTGTAATAATAATTATAATTAAAAAAAATAAATTCTGATTGACAAGCCAATTTATGGTTTGAATTCCTGAATTATTATTTCTGGTGCATACGCAAATCAGGTCTCTCATATCCCACCTCTGATATCTAGCATCTCACAACAATTGGTAGGGGGGAGTCGCTCTCGGTTGAGACTGTCAGTGATCTTATTTGTAGTGAGATGGAGATATATATTTGGTTTTGTGGTGTTCCTCCAGGGAGCTCTAAGGCTGCAATTGAAGGTGATCTTCAACATTCTGGAGAGAATTTAGATTTGCTTTTTCCTGCATCTTCTTTTAGCCTGTTGGCTTTTCAGTCCCCCTGTGGGATAGTGATGAGTTTGTGGACTTGCAGTGCTGGGGTCTGGGGTTCTATATTTTGGGTAAGCTGCCTGTGACGTGTTTTCTTCTGTTGATTCATTGACAGCATGATGTTTTGGACCTCTCCCTGGTTGATTTTAAGCCTGCACCTTATTTGATGACTGAAATGTTTGGTAGCAAATTTTTAGTTTTTTCTCCATCCATAAATATTGTACTTCATGCTGGTTTGCTTCTCAGTTACATGATGGGTCAGTTGAGCATCTTTTGAGCCCTTCTTCTCTTCCTATTTACACGGATGGTTCGAAATCGGGTGACTCGGTAGGTTCTGTCATGGTTTGCTGTGGCTCGGTAGTTGCTTGAAGGATCCCCTCTACAGTTTCTGTGTTCACTGCCGAGTTGTATGCTATTTCTCTTGCCCTGGATCATGTAGAAGCTATGCAGTACAGTAATTGTACTATTTACACTGATTCTCTTAGCTCTCTACTGACCCTGGAATCACTTAACGTTAGTTCTCACCCAGTTCTCGTTGATATTCCACACCGATTGGCCCACTTTTCTCTATCTTCTATTTCCAACCAGTTTTTCTGGATCCCTGGCCATGTTGGTATTCACGGGAACGAGCATGCTGACACCGCAGCTAAATCCGTCTGCTCTGGTGCCATCATGGCCATGCCTGTCCCATACATGGACTGCGGTCCTGTCTTTAAGGCACGGCTTCGTGCCAGTTGGCAGTCGACTTGGGGTGAGCAATGTCATAACAAGCTTTTCCAGATCAAGCCTACTGTTGGTCTTTGGCCATCTTGCTTCCGTAAGGATCGGAAGGAGGAAGTAGCCCTGGCAAGGCTACTCGTTGGTCACAGTTTTTTAACCCATCATTTTCTTTTATCAGGTATTGACTCACCAATGTGTAGCCATTGTGACACTCTAGTCACAATAGCCCACATTTTACTGTCGTGCTGTCGTTACGATCGTGAGCGGTGGCATTATTTTAAACACATTTTTTCTAAAAGTTTACCCCTGACGCTGGACAGTGTCATTGGTAATGGTGACACTGTCTGATTAGATTGTATTTTTAATTTTCTATGCACTATAGGTCTTTTTAATTGTATATAAATCTTTTATCGACATATATTGGTTTTAACTCACTGTATTTTTACACTTTAATTTATTTAGGGTTGAGACAACTATTCTTGCCCCAATTCAATATGTCATCAGTCTGGGTATTTTTTATTTTTCATCTCGTCTCAGTCTGGCTTAGCTGACTCCCATCCGGCTCAATGTTATGGAATAGGAAGCCTGACTCTTACCTGTCCTTCTACCACTGCACAGATGGTTCTCTTCTGGGAATGTGGGCATCACTCGAAACTCTCATACTTTTGGGACAAGAGCACAATAGATCCTTTTAATGGTCTTTATGTGACCAAGGGATCATAAACATCGATTCACTAGCTTCCTTAGTTTCTGTAGTCTGGATCATTTTTTGATCTCGAGGGGTTGTTAAGTTGGGATCGTTCTAAGATATGGATTCCTCTACCACCTCATCCAGAGTTTGATCTCTTCATGAATGCTTGACTCCAGGGATGGGGGGTGCATATACCAACTAGTCAGGAATTCCAGGGTCTATGCATGGATGAAGAGGCTTTCCACACAATGTTTTAGTCCTCCTCACTCTTCAAAAGGCAATGCTTCATGGTCTGGGCTTATTAAGGGGAAAACTGGTAGGCTTCACTCTGACAATTCCATTGTGTTGTCTTGTATTTCTTATCGAGGAGGCACTTGGTCTAAGGCTCTATGTTTTTGAATCTTGGACCACCTTCTTTTGGGACCATTCCTATAATATCACCCTACTAGTTTGCCATGTTTCACGGGTGATGCCTGTGGTAGCAGGTCAATTGTCTTAATCCAAAGATATTCTCCTGACAGAATAGATGCAGCATTGCAAGGTTCTGTTGGATTGGCTCTCATTTTGCAATTTTGATTGGTGGGTTGGCCTCTTATTGGATCACCCAGTTACTGGCAATTTTGTCTCCAATACATCACCTTTGGGCTTTGACAATGGATGCATTTTGTCAGGACAGGATGGGATCACAATTCTATGCCTTCTCTCTAATTTGTATGTTACCCAGGGTACTAAATATGATTTGTTCCAACACATTGTCGGATCCTGTTGATAGCACCAGATTGGCAGTTACACCCTGGTTTCTGCTTCTGCGGTATCTTACGGAAGTGTCCACCTTTTCCACGTCTTCTTAGGCCATATCTGTGGAGACGGCCATGATCTGACATGGTACACCCGGCTGTCCAGAAGCTAATGCTTCAGGCATAGAGGTTATGCAGTCTTTCCCACAGCATTGGGGTTCAATTTATATGGTTGCCATGTATCTGTCTCAGTTTTTGCTTAATCTCAAGACTATCATCGGAAATGACACTCATATTGGCAATGGTGTAATGAGAGGAGGTTGAACCCATTTCAATTAGAAATGCCAGCCATAACTCATGTTTTGACCTGTTTCTTTGGCAGGGGTTTTCGCATTTTCCACAACCACCCTATATAAGGCAGCCTTATTGACTACCGTTTTATTTTCACAACTAAATATTCTTAGACTCCCCAGTACTCTCTGGATTCCTCAAGTCACTTTGGTTATTTGGTCCCAAATGACCACTCCAGTTATCTAACAGGTATATTAAGGTTGCATTACAATCACTTTCTTAACACCTATTTGTGACCTGATTCTTAAATGCTACGTACCCACTTTACCTGAAGATTTATTTTTCGTGGCTGCTGACCTACAGACATCACTGGTCAGAATGACTTGTGCTGTTTGTCCACAGACCACTTTCTCATTTTTTCTATGTCCTCAGACCGGTTCTTCTTACGCAAGACACTGTCAGACAGGGAAGGGAATAAATCCTTTTCACCGATTCATCTTATCACTATTTCTCAGTTCTATGTCTGATCATATTTCAATCATGGTCATGTTCACTGAGGTTCTTGAAGGTTTTTTTGCTTGCATTAATGCCTTTAGTGAGGCTAGACACTGACTTTTATTTCTGGGCTCTCTTTGAAGGCAAGATATTTTCTGCAAGTCATGTTTAGTCAGATTTGTCACATTTCTATGTCCTTAGCAGCCAAGTTGAATTGCCTGCTGGAAGACAGTGTGCAGACTGGTATGTGGACCTCTTCCAATACTTTTATCTCACATTATTTGCATAATTTGGCAGTATCTTTTTCTGAGGGTTTTGGCCTACCCCCTGTAGCTATCTTGATCATTTCTGCTACATTATACAGAGAATTGAGTATTTTCATTGCTACCTTTCAGGGTCCCTTTACTCGTTTTCACAGGATCCCACTCTGTGGTGAGTGTTGCCCAGACAGATGTGGTTTTATCAATCCAATTCTGCACAAGCAACCACTAATTCAATATACTTTATACAGGTTGAAAAAGGCTCTGTAGAAATGAGGTGTTTCATAAGATCACCTAGAAGCTGACCAAGTGATATTACTGTACTATGCTGGACCACCATTCATGGACTATCATAAGTAAAACGTAAGGGGATCCTGCTCGCCCCTGCCAATCATTGGATTGAATAAATCTGGGTCGGTTTGCTTTTAGACATTTAGGGAACTTGGTTCTCCTATTGCATTGTTTCCAGAGTACTGTTCCTCAGGATTCTACTAGTGGAGCTAGGGAGCCCTTATCACAACTGGTTTACAGTCACTGGGGTGGTGGACAGAGGCTTTTCCTCCAGAGTGTTCGAGTGAATTTCTCCACTCTTGGAGAA